AACATATGTGTGTGTGTGTGTGTGTGTGTGTGTGTGTGTGTGTGTGTGTGTGTGTGTGTGTGTGTGTGTGTATTCTGTGACATTTTATCGAGACATAAGATCTACCATAAATGAATGCCCGTCTGCACATTGTAAAAACATAATACATTTCATACATGGGGTGATTCTCTTGAGACCATCTGTTCCTCATAAAAATAAACTTTATCAAAGTTCTGATTATAAACGAATACCATGGGTAGTTCGCGACATAGGGAGTAACTTAACGTACGTGCATGTAATATTCAACGAGAGTACTTAAATGTACAGATTTTCGATTTCGAAAGATATTTGTAACAACCGCATATATGTATTTCAAGTATTTGCGCGACTCTCATTCGAAAGCGAATGCAAGCATACGCAAAGCGATGTAATAGCGAATCGAGCAGTACTATATAAGTCATGTACCATTTAGGCTATTCGGATAATAATTGTTGTACTTCTTATTGAATTAGACAATTGCACTTTAACGCAGGATATATACTTTGTCCAACACTCGACGATCTTCGTTCTTTGCATAAGGAATGCATTACGGAACTCCGCAACTGTTGAAGTCGTGCAGTTACGAGGGAATAATTTAGGGATCGCATTTCGGCGTCCCCAGTGCGAAAACGTGATGCATTTACATTCATCCCTTACAGAAATTTAATTTAATACTGAAAATTACTTGTTTTGAACAATAATATTTTAATATTCAAAATAAATAATTAATCATTACTTTCCATTATGAAATTTCTGTAAGGGATGTTAGAGACGTGAATTATATAATCAAGGAGGACACGTGGAATTAATTTAAAGAAAAAATCAGAGAGAATCTTTGATTTTCTTTTTTTTTTTTTACATCAAGCGCTAATCGAACATCTCGGAAGTTTGATCGACTTCGCAAAATAAAAAGCAGAAAAAAAATTAATGAAAAATTAATCACGCGCTTTGATGTTGAGATCAAGAAAGTTACAAAAAGTTGAATCGATCGATTTGCCTTCCGAGAAGTTCAGTTGTAATTGCGAACGCGCGGAAGAACTCGAATCTGTGAAAATCGAGGTGTTTTCCTCACAAAGTATGTAATTAAACATTTATTACATTTTTCTTAGCGCACTCACAAGAAATATGCACGTCCACTCATTCATTCACTCATTCACTCTTATATAGCGTACAAGATAGATCTATTAATGTCTTATTATCGTGATCGATCGATAAAATTCTGTGCGAGATATGCGTATTTATATTATGACTCCACCTCATGTACTCGTGTAAAAGACCCTGTCGATTATTATAGTCGTAGTATCGACAATGTTAGCGGCTACTTTGTATCGAGTGCTCTTAACGGTCTAATATCGATGGCACTTAACACGTGGCTCCGATAAGCCCGTCGTATTATGTGTATTTTCGAAAGAAAAAAGTCTAGGGAAATGCACATATACGATGCGAAAGAATTTGATGTCTTGCGCGTATTGGAACGCGGAAGATTAAAAAATATCTAATGTAATAAAAGCGACGCGGACCGTTAAGGGTTAGCGTTTTGTATAAGATGAATGTATGTGAGCCCATTGAATAATCCACCCCCCTAAAGACGAAATTTTTCATCGTGTCTTTCGCGTCGCTTATAAGAAAGCACGTTATATTGGGATACTTTGCGACTCCGCAATATATACAAGAGAAGCAATAGGACAAGTGCCAAAAGTTTCATCTGGAAAGCACATCCGGAACACGCACTATTAATTCAAACAGTCTACAAATCACTGTGACATTAAAACGACGTCAAAATGGTTTCAAAAAATCCAAGAGACATACCAAGTCAATTAGAGAAAGACAAAATAATTTCATTCTTAACGTCAATAAACAGTCAAATTTTGTAACAAAAAAATCATCATTTTAATTTTCATGACGTTAAAATGAAGTCATTTTGATTTTTTATTGACTTTTATGTTCTTTCAGAATAATTATTAAAAGTCATCTTGCAATCAATCACAATTCATTTTAAAATTATTTTAACGTTACGTGACTTGTTCTGTTTGAGAGCTGTTAGCTGGCCATACAGGCATTTCTGTAATTAATTTAAAAGAAGAAAGGAGATGAAAGAAAGGAAAAACGTATGACAGCGAGATGGTATTAGAATTTACAGTTGGTTGGCAAGGCACGTATATAATTAAATTAGAAGTCGTATCGTAAATTATGATATTGCAAATTTTTTCTCGCAAACGATAATTGCGCGCGGGAGATGTGTGAAGTATTTGAAAAATTGTGAGAATCGGATTTTCTATTTGTGCTAGAAAATTCTGGAACTCGGTAATGCAAAAAGGAAACATAGTTGAACTATTCGTGAAGGCATATATAGGATGTTCGCTCGAATTATCCTGCTTGTTGAGCACGTTCGTTAACCCTTTAACGCTGGAACTTTTAAATTTTATAATTTACTTGGAGAAGACTAGAATTTTTTTTCTTAGTACTTATACTTATAATATTAAATTAATTATTTATACTTCGTTAAGTTACTTATCTATAAAGTAGACAAATAATGAAATTAAAATTAAAACCGTTTTTAAAATGTTAGAAAACAAGTTCTCGAAGTGATCTTATAGACGCTCGTGACGTTAAAGGGTTAGAAACATTTTCTCCTCGTCACTCGATGCATCTTCTTACATCTTTTAACGTCTCATCCATCCTATTTAATTTCCGTCTCACATTTACGCGAGCGGAACGTATTTAGGATTTGACGTAAGACTTCTACATTTAGAGTCTAAATTCTAGACTGATTAGTGACCTGTATAATCGCGAACATTTAAAATGTGTGGGCATATTATTCTGCAATATTACGTAAAAGTGTAATAAAATAAATGACAACCCGTCAATCGGAAGGATATGACGCAGGAATTAAATAACTCTTAACTCTAAAAGGATTGGCATGTTTCTGTACCTATATCAGCAGCCTTTCTAAATAAATTATTCTCGCAATGGAGACGAGGATAATTATCAAGATATCGGAAGTGCAATAGACACGAAAAATAAATATAAAATGGAATTATCGATTGATATTCAAAATTGCAACCGTTAAAGTGATCTTTTTAGTGTTAGAAAATTTTTATCAGAGATTCTTACACGAGAAATGTAATAACCACGGCATGTAAGTTGCATAGATCACATAATATGCATGATGTTATTACATCGACCATGGCCAAATATCTTGATGATACATACCAAAGAGGATAACAAAGTCACGGAAATGAATAAAGGCTGAATACAGACGGGAAGATTTATTTTCGAAATCTCCAGAATAATTTAGACCACGTGAACGAATATCCCAGAGCATATTCTATTCGCAATGATAAAAAAAAGGAGATAACGAAAAATGATATCAAAAGCAAAATGCGACAAAGTACGATGTTTGTGAGAGGCAAGGCGGAGCAAATACGAGCGAACTCGCGAAGCGATGATTTTGGTAGCAAGCATATTTCCAATGTGTCAAAAGTACTTGATTATTTAATCATAATAAAAAAAAAAGTAAGGAGTAGAATGCGGAAAAATAAGCGTCCGATCGTACCATCAAGCTGTTTAGTCTTCTGCGCACCCCATTTGTAATGTATGAAGGTAATCACGCAAACGCGCTACGCCATGAATATTAAATGGGCGAACATAGAAAATAATATTAGACGGCAGAGTATCTTAGCTGATGTACTGCGTTAAGAAGAGAGAAAACGAGAAAAAGAAAAAAAAAACAGACGTGTAAAAGACAGTACGGAGTGATAGATTACGTCGGTGCACGCGAATATAAATGATGTTCTTTCATTTAAATTCAGGACACACCCACGGCAACCAATGAGATACCCACGGCAAGGAAAATTTTACATGTATATTAACTCTCAGATGATAATACTAATAATAACATACTTATACATAAGAAAATGTATATATATAAATAAAACTGCAGCCCTATATAT